AAAAAAAAATTAACGGCTGTTTTGCAATCTCTTAAAACTTCCACTTTATTATACTAAAATTTAATGGGCTATAAAACTGCATATTCAAAAAAATTCCAAAAAAGTTTAAAAAATTTGTAAATTGGTATTGTACTAATTTTACTCAACTTCGGTGTAAAAAAAAATTCTTAACTCCAATTATTGTAGAGTGCACCCCATAACATTATACTTAAATATTGCGCAATACTCAGAGCTACCATTGTGATTTTCTCCATTTTTTTTTTGAAATGGCATATTTTCAAAAACTATTTTTTTTTTATCAAAAAATTTGTATGTGGAAAATTTTTCAAGAAAAAAATTAAAAAATATTTTTTTTTTCGTAGAGAATTTTGATGTCTGTATGTGTGATTTTATCGATAAAAACGTTTTAATTGCGTATGCATGTTCACTTTGAGCAAATTGTGAGCACTGGTTGGGGAAATCTTCGGTAGATTGGGCAAATCGCTAATTGGGCCCCAATTGGACTAAAATTAGAGCCCAATTGGAAAAAACTTTTGGCTCTGATCGGGCAACCTCTAAAAATTTCCAGCAAGGAAACTTTATCATAATGGGCAACAATTTTTGCGTCCTCAACCGGCACGAAAATCTGCTAGCATCATATAAGTGCATTTTCAGAAGAAAAAATCATAACTCGAAAACGACGAATTTTAGCATATTGCTACTCGTACTGAAAATAGTTTATACTATTCCCTAATAGACAAAAAAGTTTGAGAGAAAAAAAGATGTGGCAATTTAAAAAAATAAATTAAAAAAAAAAAAATTTTTTGTTTATAGACAATAATTAATTATTAATAAACAATTACTGATTTTTAGTTCACTAGATCGATTCAGTAGATCAATATCTGCAATTAAAAAAAAATCGTTAAAATCCTTGCTTTTTTGCGGCATTTATAAGCGATTTCATCAAAAGTTGCTATTAAGAGAGCAAAAAAGAAGCGTTCGTACTCAAAACGAAAAAAATTCATTATTCGAAAAATTCGCATTTCCGAGCAAAAAGAAAAAATACGAAGTTTTATCGCAAACTTAAATTCACTTTCCCCCGGCCTGGGTGATTTGAGATGGAATGAGCCATATACATATTGTGGCGAATACTGCGGCAACACAAAGCGAACAACGAGAAATAGGCA